TTCTTGTACAATCAAATATAAAACCCTGAATCTTCTCAACCCTTCCTTTACATACATACGACCTTAAAATAGACAGGCCTTAAGTACTCAAGTCAAAAACCTAGATTTTAGTCTATAGGCAAAGGAATTGATAAAACCTTTTTAGATGGGAACAACATTAGAGCTGTTTCAAGAAGATCAGGAGAGTATGATGTGTAGGGAGACTAGTAACGAGATAATCTCAACAAATGATAATGTACTAAAATAGAGCAAGGGCAAGGAGAATAATGGGAAGTATTCTCTTCTCTCTCTCTCTTTCTATACACACACACACACACACACATTTCAATAAAATTTGCACCAAAGATAAGGGCTATTTTTGTACTGTCAAATGTTTATCATTCTTCTCTCAGCGTACTGTGTTTGGTTTGGGGTTATGTACGTGGCAGAACACAAAGAGGATGCTGTGGCATAACGAAGACTGAAAGCTGGAAAAGTGAGATTTACACCAGAGACTAAAGAATCCAAACCAGAACACTTTAGGATGCAACATACTTCTTGATAAAAGATATAAAAGAACTCACACAAAAAATGTTCTTTTTGTAAATGAGGAACCCTCATTTACAGTGCCCCATTCAACATACCACAACCATGGAATCAAAATTATTTTTCCTACAGACCTGCAGAATTCTCTCTTCAAATCTTTTTCAGTACCAAACAGACCCTGTGACTCTTCAATTTCTATAGCTATATCATTTACTCCTCACCACAGCGGAGGCCAAGTCAGCATACAAACCCTCTCCATACTGTATTAATGGGGAAGCATGACAAGGAAATGACCTTGTAAAGAATTTCTATACAACAAACAACATTAACGCAGCAATGTTTAGGGAGGACATTTTTTTAATTTAAAAAACAAGTGATTTATGAAGAAGTTACCCTATATGTAGAGTGACTCACACACACACTAAACAGGCCTTATTTTTAAAAAATTATACACCTTCAGCAGCAACTCTCAACTCATCACAGAAATTGCAAAAAGAATGGTTGGGGTACAAGTGATTTTAGCTAGCTAAATTATCTCTTTAAAAAGAGCCTTTGTAGTAACTTAAGTTCTCGATGAAAATTATACCAAAATGTATCATAACACCCCCTTAGGTGTTTGAAAGAAATACCTCACAAAGTGTGCTGAGAGAGTCCTATACCCCTGTATTTGTGACAAAATACAGATTCCTAGGCTCCATCTTCAAATTCTGATTCAATATGTCTGGAGTGGGGTCCTGGAACCTGCACATTTACATTTGCAAATGTTTGAAAACTACTGTCCCAAAGGAATCTTCATTATGAACATCAACTGTACTACGCTGTAACATCATGACCTCAGAGATTAGTGAGACCTTTAAGCTATCTGCCTCCATGTTAGGAAGCTACATAATGCTCAGGTTTTGAGTTCAAAGCCCCCTTACTTACTTGTCCTCTCTCATTTTTCAGCTGTCCCTTCCCTCTTCCTCACATGTGTGTCATCTCTTAGAGGACACTCTTGCCCCATTTCAATACACAGTCTTAAGAGACCAGAACTTTGCATTCACTGGGTATAGAATGGCTCTACGTGAAGTCAGGAGAAGAGTGACTAATGTACAATTTGTACTTTGGTCCACAGTCTTTGTGATGGCCACTGTGGCCTCTCAGACCTCTTTTGGTCAATGTCCTAATCCTATGCCATGCCCTACACTCTCTAGCACCCATTAGACATGCATACATATTTGTTGGATGATGAACGAACACGTGAGGTGTAGTCACATAATCGCTTACCACGCAGTCTTTGGCTTTGGGGGAAACCCGAATATCGTTGCTACTTACACTAACAAACTGAATGTCATCTTCATTTTCATCCGCTGTGCACTCAGATGTCTCAGGTCCAGCTGGAGGGACAGATTCTATTATCTACAAAAATAAGCCAAAACACGCTTATCTATACAGCCACACACTTGCAGGAAGAGCTTTTCCCAAAAGGAACGAAAAAGGAAGCACTTTCAAGGAAACCTAACGGCGTAATTCCACGCAAAACCGACGAAGAACAGAACTCGATGGAGTCGGATTATGCCTCTGCATACGTGGAGCTGCAGGGACCAGACAGCGAAAACCGGCCACGGGCCCCTCGCAATCCCCCTTCTGCTCAGGAACGACGGGCCAGGCTCACCACTGAAGAGCCAGCCTGTCGGCCGAGCAGCGGCAACAAGGAGCGCCGGAGCCGGTGCAGGGGCCGGGCGGCCATTGTTGCAGCTGGTTCCTGGCTCGCCCTGCACCGCGCCGAACGCCGGGCTCGGCCCGAGACGCCGCGGGGATGGCCCCGCGCCTGCGGCCGAGCACCAGGCCTCACGCCAACAGAACACAAACCCCTCGGCAGCTCGCCTACTCACCTCCGACCCTGGGTCTCCCATGTCTCCGACGGCCTGACAGCACCGCTGCTGCGCTGTCCCCGCGGCCGCCGCTGTAGCTGCTGTCCCCGCCGCCGACACCGCCACCGCCACCGCCACGACCTCCCTTCCCGCCCAGCTCCGCCTTGCGCCGGGGTGACCAGACCCTGCGGAGAGCCAAGGCCGGCGAGGAAAAAGATGCACAAAGACTTCAGAAGGAGGAGTGGCAAGTCCGGACCGCTCTCCTCCGGAGCCTAATTCCCACAGTCCCGACCGGCCTTCCCCGCCCCGCGCAGGACGCTGGGAATTGTAGTTCTCTTCGCACCCGCGACCCTCCAGGTGTTTGAAATCTGGAAAGGGCCTCGGAGCTGTGGCGCTTGAGTTACTCTTGGCTGTTACTCTACCTAAAGAGAGTAATAGAAGATCTTTCTCTTTCAATCTCGCTCTCATTTTTATAGTCCAGTATTGGTCTAGATAATTGATCAATGGTGTTAAAAAGCGTTTTCTTGGTTTGCTCAGACATTGCCTTAGCAAGATAGTGGCCGACACTTTCCTTTTCAATATTTGCAAACGACTGTGAACAGGTTAAATGGCTGAAAACATGTGTTAACTGAGAACATTTTTTAACAATTGTTTCTTCTAGCTATATCAGCCTAAAATCACTTGTAGTCTGGAAAATCTGTAGTCCCCCCAAATCACCTTGTTGATTTTGACTCAGGCCTACAATGAGTGAGATTATACAAGAGGAACTGTGAGGCATGTCACCATTCAAAGGAATAGTTTTATTAGAAGATTTTTTTTTTTTTATCCTCACCCGAGGACATTTTTTGTTCAGATAGAGTGGGAGGGAGAGAGAGGAAGAGAGAGAGAGAGAGAGAAACATCGATGTGAAGGGACACATTGAGTGGCTGCCACCCGCACGACCAACCAGGGCCGGGGACAAACTGCAATCGAGGTACGTGCCCTTAGTGGGAACCGAACCTCGGTGTCTCGGGACCGCAGGTCGACGCTCTAACTGCTGAGCCAAACCGGCCAGGGCTTATTAGAAGATTTTAAGGAAGGGTAAAGGTAGATGAAATTTAAGTAGGTAGGTTCAAAGCCAATTAAGACTGTGTGAGTTCAAATCAGGACTGGACTGCAATTTGGACCTAGGGTCCTGTTAACTTGGAAAATAACAATATATGAAGCTGAATCAAAAACCATACACATCAGCCCTGGTCGGTTTGGCTCAGCGGTTAGAGCGTCGGCCTGCGGTCTGGAGAGACCCGGGTTCGGTTCCCGCTAAGGGCACGTACCTCGGTTGCAGTTTGTCCCCAGCCCAGGGTCGTGTGGGTGGCGATCACTCGATGTGTCCCTTTCACCTCGATGTTTCTCTCTTTCTCTCTCCCTCCCACTCTATCTGAACAAAATATCAATCAAAAACGTCCTTGGATGAGGGAAAAAAACAAAACAAAACACCACCATACATATCTTCTATTATCCGTAAAAATAGCAACAGATCTTAAAATACTTTAAGGAGGGACCATAGATGTCTCAATTGAACAGTACTGTTATGTTTTGCAAAGATATTTTTTATTTAGCAACAGATCTTAAAATACTTTAAGGAGGGACCATAGATGTCTCAATTGAACAGTACTGTTATGTTTTGCAAAGATATTTTTTATTTACAGATAGTAGGCAAATCTTATATTTCAAAGTATTTTTAAAGGAAATAACATATAATATTTAGCAACCTGGACATTGTGTATATATCCTACGCAGAAATAACATTTACTATGTTCTATGGATATTGTCTATTTGTTCTGCATGGGATGGCTCTTTAGAGGAGACACAAACCAAAGCCACACAGCCCAATTGTAATGGTAATGCCTCAATCTGTGGGTAAAAAAGCCAATAGTTTAGAAAGGTATTTCCCTCCCTGGATTTATACATCAATGAGAAACAAGCAAATACTTATGTTTTCAATGGGATTTATTTCAGTTTAAGTAAAAGTAGCAAATCTTAAGGTAAGTTACTTCCTTAAGAATATTCATTTTGTACAATTACATTATTATCAAGCAACATTTATGGAATGTTCCCTGGGTCCACAATACTGAGCTTTCTATCAATATGCATCCTTTTTCACGAGTTTATACAGCACTTTGTGCACTGAAGAAGCATGGCCTTGGCTATGCAGAGTTGTCACCAAGACAACCTGACATCAAAGGAGAGGCCTCTTGATGAAGAATGTTTTATCTTTCATTCCTTTACAAAATGGCATTTTACTTTATGTGTGATTATCAACCCCACAGCATTTTGTTTAATTATTTTTTCTTCTGATGTTATGAAAACGAACCAGTTAAAACTAAGAAGTGTAGTAATATAACCAAATACATAGGATATTACATCTTATATGGATGTTTGAGATGTTATTGATGTTTTATATGACATATCTTTATTTATATTTTGGGCAATAAAAACTTAGGAGCATGTAAACAAAGTTAAAAAAAAAGATTTTTCTGAAAGTGGATGAATTGTTTTAACAATCACAGATATTTGTGTTTATTTCCTTTTTTAGGAGTACAATGAAATAGTTTCATATTAAAATAAAAGGTCTTGCTGCTCTCATTTATTAAATTTCTATTTTATACATTTTAAGTAACAGAATTATTCTGCAGTTTTATTGCTAAAACAACAGTGCTGCTCTTCTGTTTATGAACAGTGATTATTTCACTGTACTTTTCCACACATGTGCTCATGCTAAGAATTCAAAAATTAAAATGGAGAATGACTGGTAATAATAAATGTACAGCAATTGATTAGGACTATGACAAATCTTAATTAAGGGTTGACGTTTCTGTTATGATAACTATCCTGTTAAGTTAGCTATACAGAGAAGCATTAGGGACAGAAAAATGCAAGAAACCATAATGCATGCTTATTGGACTGCTAGAAATTCTCTAGTGTGATGCATCGTGGATATTTAGGGCAGAATCTACATGCAGCTTCTTCAGCAAGCTTGCTGCTCCATCAGGAGAGTCTGTCGATGTTACAGATGTCTCGCAGCCTGTCCCTGCACACGTCTCTCTGTGCTCACTGCCAGGGAGGTTGCAGATTCTCCAACAAAATCCAATGTTAAATTTAAAACTGAAGGTACTTTATTTCGAATACCTATAGTACCTATGAAAAGCAAATTTAAAAAAACAGAGCATATTTATTTTAGAATTCATATAGTATCTTAACAGTGGTATGAGTTATTTATCTGTGTGTCTACTACAGATTTAGGCTTAAAATATACATTTTAAATATTAACTATTACTATTGCGGTGATGTAGGAATTCTTTTATGATCTATTCAGAGGAAGACCAGCATAGATAACAGTTAAAATAGTGAACATCTATTTTCATTTCAAATGGCTTTTAAGAAACTTTTTATTAGGTAAAATTTCAAAAACACAGTAAAAGGAACCATCCCCACAGACCCATCAACCATCTTAAAAAATGATCAACGATTCTGTTTGTCCTTCTTCAGTAGCATTTATTGATACCTTAAAATATCAGGCAATTCCCCAAATCTGCTCTATCTCTTCAAAGCTCAGGAAAACCAAATGAGCTAAGTCAGAGGCAGGATTGCTATGAAGTTCATAACGCTTACTTGCATGGGTATCTTCCGACAAAGAGGCCCCAGTAATGTCCTCACATGTTTATATGTTTTGGTTAAATTTGCCAAAGCTCAATATTTCACCCGTAATCAAGACCACTGTCTCTCTCCATTTCAGCTGCCCCTCATTCATATGTTGTCCTCAGTGGGCATTTCTAAGATTTGGTTAAGGATTGACTGGGATGTATTTTTTTTGCTTTTCAATCTCTTCCATGTATAGTTACATTATTGCTGGTCATTCTACTTTGCATTGTGTTCTAGGAATGCTTTGAATGTGGTAAATTCAAAGACTATTGAAGAGCACTCACTCCATAGAAAACTTGAAATGCCCCTGAAATCTTATAGCTCAGATATGAAAAGAACTCAGTAGAGGGGTTTCCCAATCTGACAAGAATCCTAAAAGTTACATTGCTATTAAAGAGTTGAAAACTGAAAAGACAACTCTGTAAACTTCATCTGGAAACTGTCAAAAAGAAAAAAGAAAAGTAATTTTCTATCAACTCTGCTAGAGAGTAGTCTAAATTATTTCTCTATTTTTTCTATAGAAAAGGCTATTATAAGATTGTGGTCAAATGAAGAGGCAACTGACATGTACGTGGCCCCCAATAAGTAGGGTAAATGTATTACAGAGCTGTTAATAACCATATTATGTAATTTCCTCTGATGGAATATTTCAGAAAATTGTTAACTTTTAACTGTTAGGTAGTGTTTATGATTTATGTATTTGAAATTAGTATATAAAGTCGTAACTGGTTGTATATTAAAAATTTTTGTGTTTCGCCCTGGCCGGTTTGGCTCAACGGTTAGAGCGTCCGCCTGCGGTCCGGAGAGACCCGGGTTCGGTTCCCGCTAAGGGCATGTACCTTGGTTGCAGTTTGTCCCCGGCCCTGGTCAGTCGTGCGGGTGGCAGCCACTCGATGTGTCCCTTTCACGTCGATGTTTCCCTCTCTCTCTCTTCCTCTCTCTCCCTCCCACTCTGTCTGTACAAAAATGGAAAAATGTCCTCGGATGAGGATTAAAAAAATAAATAAATAAATAAAGATTTAAAATACTTACCAAAAGAATCTACTTAATATCCTGAGAGTTCATATTTTTGCTTAAATTTGGCTTCTTGGTACAGTTGTTCAGCTTTTGCCCTATCATCCTTCTGATTGAGACATCATCAGTGTTGGGAAATAACTGTTTTGTGACTCCTGTAAATAAACAACAGTAACACACACCAACACTTTATGAGGCCTGAGGACCTGGCCTCTTAAGATATGAACTGAGATAAAACATGAAGCAATTCACATTATAATTTTGTCCTCATTTTGCAAAAGCAGCCCAAACACCCATGAGATATTTACATAGATGAATCGGGTTTTAAAACCAATGCCAGAGATAACGAAGGTCTATATTATAAACGGAGGACATGCATATTTGTCTTCCTATGGTACCACTCAACTTTAACCTTGTTACTTGCTCTGAACTCTGTCTCCTTGCTCCAAAATGTTACAAATCTAATTTTATCCATCCCAACATCAGTTGGAACAGCTGGGGTCTGACTGACTCTTTTCCAAGTAAGAAATTACATACCATTAAAATATAGAGAGCTAGGAGTTAGTGATTCCCTAAATTGGTTGGGTATTGGCAAAAAAGTTATTTGACAATGTAGATTATTTAAGGAGATTCATTAACTTAAAAATCATAAATAAGACCGTCAAATTGACCTCTATCTTTCTAGAATAAAAGATAAGGGATAGAACCAAGATAAGAAAGGGAAAATAAGATATAAACTGTTACTGAAATTTTGACTGAAAGGATTTTGAAATTTCACTTTTCTAAAGCTATGAATTTTATAAATCCAAACTTTTCAGTGATATAAAATATAGTGTTTACTATCTCCTTTTAATATAAAGTTTTCTAGAGAATGTCCCATATTTAATAGGGTTTAGGTGATCCTGAGGTTTCTCTTTCATAGAAAAATAAATTTGAAGAAAAAGACCATAATGGAATAACAACCTTGAAGGGTAAAATAATTTCAAAGTTATGCAACTATATAATGTAATCGTATGATCACCTATGATTTCTTGAACTTCATTCTGATTCATAGCTGGCTTTACAGCCTTCTCCCTCGAAGTGGAGGATTTCGCACCCGTCAGGCTGTGTGTGGCCATGTACTCATTTGTGTAAAGTACTTGCATTAAATCATTAATAAACTTCTGAGGCTTGCTCTTGTTACAACGGGCAATCTGCCATTTTTCAATCTTGAACTGAAAAATAAAAAATAATACATGCAATCGGAAGGAGAAGAAGAAAGTAATATCTGGAGGAATATATTACTAATTAAGGCATACCAGACACAAAATCAACATTCTTGAAGGTGATGTATATCCTTTACATTTCAGGGGTTAGAGTGCAAATGTTATCTTTGAAATAATTCCCAATATTTATGAGGTATTTGTTCCAAAGTATACACAAATTCTTGTTATGGAATCTGGATTTGATGCTTTAAGGAGGAGTCCCCTCCTCGCTTAACAAAGTGTGATAGGCAGAATAGGGGCCCACTAAAGATATCCACTCCCTGGAAACTGTGAATACGTTACTTTATATGGGAAAACAACTTTGTAGGTATTATTATTATTATTATTTTTAATCCTCACCAGAGGACACTTTTTTTTTTTTTTTTTTTCGCATTTATCTTCAGATAGAGTGGGAGGGAGAGAAGGAGGAAGTGAAAGAGAGAAATATCAATGTGAGAGAGACACATCAAATGGTTACCACCCACACGATCCCAACTGGGGCCGGGGACAAATTGCAACCGAGGTATGTGCCCTTAGCGGGAACCGAGCCCTGGACTCTTTGATCCGCGGGCCGCAGCTCTAACCGCTGCGCCAAACCGGCCAGGGCTGTAGGTATAATTAAAGTTAAGTCTCTTGAGCCCTGACTGGTTAGGCTCAGGGGTTAGAATGTCAGCTTGTGGACCTAAGGGTCATGGGTTTGATTCCCAGTCAAGGGCATGCACCTGGATTGCAGATTCGATCCCCAACCTCGTTGGGGTCATTCGGGAGGCAACCAATTGGTGTGTCTCTCTCACATTGATGTCTCTCTCTTGTTCCCTTTCTCCTTCCCTCCCTCACTTCCTTCTTTTCACTTTATCTGAGAGAAAATCAATAAAAATGTCCTTGGGTGAGAACTAACAACAACAAAAAGTTAAGTATTTTGAGATGAGGAGATTAGCCTGGATTATCCAGATCAAAAAAAAGTTAAGTATCTTTTGATGGGGGGATTAGCCTGGATTTCCAGGTTAGTTGGGTGGGCTCCAATCTAATTATAGGAGCCCTTAACCACAGAAGAGGGAGGCAGAAGAATGGGTCAGAAAGCAAGGCGGAAGGAGGAGAGATTCGAAGAGTGAGAGGAACGTTGCTTGCCATGGCTGGCGTTGAGGATGGTGGAAGTGGCCCCAAACCAAGCAATGTGGGATGTAGTTGCCTCTACATCCTGCAGGAATGACCCTCGATTTACAGTCAGCAAGAAAATTAGGATTCAGTTCTACAGCCACAGACATTGAATTCTACAACCCAAATGAGCAGGAAACAGATTTTTTTTCTTCCAAAGAGCCTCCAGAAAGGATGGCACTTGCCAAGAGCTTGATGTTACCATGCTTCTGACCTACAGAACTTGCAGACAGTAAATCTGTGTTATGATAAATTACTAATTCTGTGGTAATCCGTTATACAGCAAAAGGAAATTAATACACTAAGATTCACGTATTTAGCATGCTAGATTTTTAGTATTTAATTATTGCTCTTGGAGGCTTATTTTCCAACAATGATGCCTGATTGAAACAAAACTCTTGTCTTTTTAGCTTCTGTTTCTTGATTAAGAGAAATTAAGAAGGTAAAAAAGAATTATGTCTAGACAGCAGGCCAGGGATGAAATTTACCTTATCTCAATGATCTAATTTCATAGCCCTTAATGCATTTTTCGGATTAAGAATTTTCTAGTTTAAAAACTTCATCACTGTCCACAATTTGACTTTAGTTTTCTAAAATGGTTATCTGTTTCACAAATATCAGATTTATTGTAAAACCACTGCTGTACGCAATTGGAACATTATGGTTGTGACCTAAAGTTACCTAAAGGTATCTGATAAAGCAATGGTTGCTTTGTGCTCTTATTTTAATTTTTGCATTTAACTGTATCCCAGAGAAAGAGAGGGCGGGTATTTCCACTGACCTGCTTCTCGTCAGTGTGCCGCTCTTCTTCAGCTCTCAAGGAGACTGGTGAACTGGAATTAGAATTAGAGTTAGAGTTACTGCACATGGAGGCAAATGACTCTGGTGAGGAGTTGTTTGTTGCTCTCCAGAGGGAGGACGCAGATGTGAGCACGGTTCCTCTACCCTTAAGCACGGCGTCCGCCATACCAACCAATTCTTCAAACTGGGTAACTGCTTGTGGTAACACTAAAATGGCAAGAGAAAGTAACACTTTACAAACACTTTTTAATGACAGGGACATATATACATTTTGAAAATTCTGTGTCTATGCATAGAAATATGTAGAACACGTCACTAACATTTGCTACCTTTGGAAAATAAACATGGTAAGAAAAGTGATTGGGCCATATTTACTTTTTAGTATTAAATAATTTAATAATTGCTTAGTAGTAAAAAAATCAATTTAAAAACATTTGGTGATAGTGTGTAAATGTGTATGCATATCATTGTAACCACAATGAATGTTTAACAAGTTGATTCTCTTTTCTAATTGCTAATAGTATTATTTCAAAATGTTTAATCTCTTGTTTGGAGACATTACTGATTCAATTACCAATCACCTTCCAGATACTCATTAAGCCAATTTAAGTGACAAGATAAAGTAAACCATTTCTCACAGATTAAAATACATTTTTTATGACCTTTGTGTGTGGTTTGCTGTCGAGTCAAATTCCATCAAACTAATAAAAATTTATTGCCACAATTCAAACCTATATTTTCACATATCAAAGATGAATTTTGGTCATTAACTGAATGTTCTCTTTGTTATTTTTTTTTTTCAATGGAAACTTACACATTCAAAGGATTCATGTCTCCATGTTAAATGGTCTTCTCTGTTGTTATATTTAGTTTGTTTCCTAAGGACAAATAACATTTTGTTGGAGTTGGAAGTCACCTTGAACCCTATCTAATTCAACTCCTCACTTTATTGTGGAGGGGCAAAAAGACTGAGATTTTTTGTACTTTTCTTAAGCATATTATTGAGCTATAATCTTTAGAATAATATAAAATTTGAGAGCTGAAAATCAGACATATTGATGACATGTTTAAATCAATACATCTGGTACTATATTAATAAAAAAATAGAAAAATCTACTAAAGAAAAAAATCTTATATTATTTTAATTAATATTTACAAAGCACCTCTCCTTTGCCAGACACTTATTCAATCATAAATCACTTATTGAGCATTTAACTATATTAAACATTAATCTAACTTTTACTCAATGCCAAGCATTATTCTGGGAAGTTTTACTCATGTTAATTTATTTAATCCTCATTGCAACTCTATGAGACAGGTATTATCATTATCCCTAATTTATAGATGAGCACAATTAGGCAGTGAGAGGTTAAATAACTCATCCAGGGTCAACCAAATTAGTGAAAAGAAGAACCAAGATTCAAATTCAGACTCCACCATTTTCATGCTATAAACTAGAGTTGACCCTTGAACAACATGATTTTGAGCTGCACAGGTCCATTTATATGCAGATTTTTCCCCAATAAATATGTTAGAAATCCTGGCCAGGCAACTCAGTGGAATAGAGCATCGTCCCCATATGCCAAGGTGGCAGGTTTGATCTCTGGTCAGGGCACATACAAGTAGCCAATGAATGCATAATGGAACAAATCGATAGCGCTCGCTCTCTCTCTCTCTCTCTCTCTCTCTCTCAAACCAATCAACTATATATATGAAAAATTTTAGAGATTTGCGACAATTTGAAAAAAACTTACAGATGAACTCCATAGCCTAGAAAAATGAAGAGAAAGTTAGGTATGTCATGAATGCATATAATACATACACAAAATATGTGTTAATCAACTGTTGATGTTATCGGTAAGGCTTCTAGCCAACAGTAGGCTATTAGAAGTTGAGTTTTTTGAAAGTCAAAGTTAGACATGGATTTTTGACTGCGTGGTGGAGAGGCAATCAGCACCTCTAACCCCTGCATTATACAAGGGTCAACTGTACTATATTATGCAGATTCTCAGCATTTTCAAACACATGTTAGCTGGTAGGAATGAAACTGAAAGCAAAACCAGATGTGATTCTAGCTTTTTGGAGCTGAGAGAGGGTGGAGGATATTGTTTACATAACCGTTCTGTGTAGTAAAAATTTGGCCTGCTGAAAGTAAGGTCCATTCTGCAGTTCCCCCACCCCAATCCTTCAACAGTTCCTGGGAGGTAATCTCTACACCCTTGGAAATTCCTCAGTAGGAGGAATGTGTATGTTATTCACGGTGAGCCCCTCAGACCACACTTTATAATTTATGCTAAGGGCATACTCAGGCTAGTAATGATCATACTCAATAGTCTTAGGGTGGAAGCTGGCCACTACCTTGAAAGCCAGAAAGATTTAGAGACTGAGTTCAATCACATAGGTAATCAATTAATCATGCCTATGTAATAAACCCTCAATTAAAACTTTGGACATTGAAACTCAGGTGAGCTTCCTAGAGATGGAGAATACTTCATGTATACTGTAACAAGTAAATGCTAGGAGAGTACTGCATCCTGAGGACAGATGCTTTATATTTGGAAACAGCCCAGACTCTGCCTTATGTGTCTTTTCCAACTTTGATTGGTTCTACTTTGTATTCTTTCACTGTAATAAATAAAACCATGAATATAATAGGCTTCAGTGAGTTGTGAGTTTCTCTAGCATATTATTGAACCTGAGAGTGTTTGTGGAAAACCTGTGTTTGCAGTTGGTAAAAGACATCTTAGGCAGCCTTGGCAGCTTAGAGGACAGTGCTCTTAAACTTGCACTTTAGCTAACTCAAGGTACATGCAAGGAAATGAAAAGTTACAGTTGTTAAGTGTGTAAAAAGAATAATATAAATTGAGCCACTTTAAAATGGAGTTGGATGTCCGGCCGGTGTAGATCAGTGGTTGAACGTCGACCCACGCACCAAGGGGTCGCTGGTTCGATTCCAGGTCACAACACATGCCCATGTTGTGGGCCCGATCCCCAGTGGGGGCATGCAGGAAGTGGCCAGTTGATGTTCTCTCTCATCGATGTTTCTATCTCTCTCTCCCTTCCTCTATCTCTAAGATCAATAAAGAAAAAAATTTTTTTTTAATAAAATGGAGTTGGAGTCACCATCCCAGAGGAATTGTCTTTCCACATCTCACTCCTCAAACCTTTGGAATATCAAAACTGGCCATAATAACCTTTGGGTTGGACCCAAAGCAGCATTGTATCCCAAACAACTGTTTGAAAAAAATAAGAAAGCAGATATTTTTGAAAGATATGAGCTGGTGGAGATCACATCCACAACGCAAGGCCAATGTGTAGAGCAAAACGACTTTATTGCAAGCACCTGGGAGCAGGTAGTCTGAGTCCGAGAAGGGAGTCAGCTCCAAATAGTTGGGGTGTAGGTTATATACTCTGCTTCTAGCTTCTGACAGCTCCTGCTGATGTACTCTGCGTGGCCCATTGTCCACTTTGCAGTTGGACTGGGTCTATTATCTCATCCTGCATCTGCTGAGTGATTCCTTGTCTTTCAGATAATTCAGATAATCCGTACTCAACAGAAGGCTGAGCAAAGGTCATGCAAACAACAAATTTTTCAGTTTCCTCCTTTTGCAAGCTTTTGCCTTTACCCTTTAAAACGTTATTAACCCTTACTGCCGGGCCGGTGTGGCTCAGTGGTTAAGAGTGTCACTTTGCGGACTAATGAGTTGTGGGTTCCATTCCAGCCAAGAGCACGTACCTTGGTTGCGGTTCGTCCCTGGCCTTGGTTGGGGTCGTGCAGGAGTCAACCAGTTGATGTGTCTCTCTCACATTGATGTTTCTCCTCCCCCTCCCACTCTATCTGAAGATAAATGGAAAAATATCAGGTGAGGATAAAAATAAATAAACAAAATAAACATAAAATGTTATTAACCCTTTCAATTTTGACTACCAGACTGAAGATTTAAAACAGTCTTTAGAATAGCATTACCATGTTAGCTGATCTGCATCTATAGAAATTCCTGCTTTCACTGATGTAATTATTCCCCTCCCCTTACTCATAAATACCCCTTGCCTTCACCTCCTAATTCAAACACTATTGGGATTCTGCTTGAATTAATACTTCTGGAATAAGCTATTGTTTTGGATCTCCTTTGAGCTTTTTGTTTTTAGGTTAACAAGTGTCAAGAAGGAGAAGCATAATGTGCTTGACCCAGCCTGGGAAGGGAGAGGGTATGGAAAGTGTCAATGGAGAGGTCAAGATTGAGCTGAGAGCTGAAGGCTGAGCGGGAATTAAGTAGCTAGAGGGGGTGAGGAGGTCATCAGTGGCATAGGAACCACAAGGTTTGAATTTGAGAAACTGTAAGAAGGCCAAAGCTAGAATGTATGAAGAAAAAGGGAATTTGGTATAAAGTGAGAGTTCAAGAATATTTACCATGTTTTTTAATAATGAAATTTGTACCTGTTCATTGAAATATATCTTTGTCATTTCTGTGTATCTCTATATATTCATGTATTTTCTTTTACACAATTAGGACCATACTGTAGACACAGCATTATCTCATGATTCTGTTTTCCAGTTAAGTCTGTAAGTTGAATATTTTCCCTATTTTATTAAATCTTCTTGAAAAATGTGATTTTTGATATCTAATTTACATAGAGTCAAAGGCAAGATCTTATATAAAGTCTGAGCAGAGATGATGTAGCTAAAGGAAGATGAGTTTGACAAAAGGATACACCTGGTTAATGCACACCTATCACAATACAGAATGTTTCCTTCTTCTCAGAAAGTCACTTCATGACCCTTCAAAGCCAATCCCTGGACTTGCCTCAGAGGCACCCACTCATCTGACATCTTAGCCATAGGTAAGCTTTACCTGTTCTAGAATCCCGTATGAATAAATTCAAACAGTATATTCTCTTCTTTTTGTCTGATGTTTTTACCCTGTGTATAATATTTAGGGATTCATTCATGCTGTTCAGTTAGTTATTCATTGTTTTTGTTGTTGCTAACTAATATTCAATTACATGGATACTCCACAATTAATGTATCCATTCACATGTGGATGAATTATTTGCCACTTGAAAATGCAACCTTTATTTTAAAATATTTTTTATTGATTTTTTTAGAGAGAGGGGAAGGGAGAGGGAAAGAGAGAAACATTTTTCAATTGCCTCCTACACGCCCCCTACTGGGATCCAGCTGGCAACTCAGGCACGTGCCCTGACCTGGAATCAAACTGGCGGTCCTTCAGTGCACTGGATGATGCCCAACCTACTGAGCCACACCAGCCAGGGTGAAAAATACAGCTTCAGTGGTTCCCTGAGATTCCAAGGTATTGATGTTCTATAATTGTATTTAAATGCTCCTTTTTTTTTCTTTTTGGAATTTAGATTGTTTCCATTTCTTAATTACAAACAAAACTGATAAACCGCCTGCATATACATCTTCGTATGGATCTATGATCACATCAGTGCTATAACTACTTGAAAGCATCCAAGGTATAAATGATTTTAAGACTCAATTAATATTGCTGAATTGCTCTCCAGAAAGATTCCTCCAACTTAAGCTCCCACTAGCTACGTAAGAAGTTGGCCATTTCACTGCATTATCAGTAACAGCATCAATCACCAACAACAATCTTCACTATTTTGATAGGCTCAAATATTAGTACAATTTAAATGGCAATTATTTGATTATTGTGAAGTTAAATATATATATTTTTTATGATTATTTGAACTTCTATGAATTATCTATTAGGCCATGGAATATTAGTACTTTTTATTTTATAAGAACGTAAGTGGTTTTTGTAAAGTGCTTATAAGAGTAGCTAGTACATTATAGCTAACAATATGTAACAACAATATGTTAGCTATTATTATTAACTCCCTTATATAGTGAGCATTTTAACCTTTTATTTCTCATATGTTATATTTTTCTTAGAGTGTTTATCTTTTAATTTTAAGATTCTTTTTGAAGCACACATGCATTTTTAGTGTTTATTTTGGTTAAAGTAGCAGTCTTTTCTTTAGTATGTTATTTATTTTATGGTTTAAAAGTCACTGATCATTTAGATCAGTTAAATATTCCCTCATATAGTTTGTATAGTTTAAACATCTTTTCACAAGTAAGCTTTTCCTCCAAAAATACTTTTTTCCAAAAATACATTTTTAAGGGAAAAATTTAAACACAAAAATAGTAAAAACTCATATACCCATCTCCTGCTTTTAATTCACAGCAATCTTTTTTCATCTGTACTCCCAATCCACTTTCTCCCCGCCCTCAAGATTACCTGAAGCAAATCATAGGCATTATCTCATCTTATATGTAAACACTTCCATATATATCTATAAAATGTAAGAAATTTAAAAATATAACTATAACACCATTGTCATAGCTAGAAATACTTAACAATAGCTCTTTCATGTCATTTTTTAAAAACCTAGAAAATGTTCAAATTTCTCTGATTGTCTCATTTGTTTTAAAGTTTACTTGAAGCAGGATTCAAATAAGGTCCATACATTACAACTGGGTGTTGTCTCTTTCATCTAACTATACGTTTCCTCTCCCTAGTTTTTCCTTGCAATTTATTAGTTGAAGAAAGTGGGTCATTTTTCCAGCAAAGTTTCTCATAGTCTGGAATTATGCCCCTCAAGTGGTGTTTAACACACTTCTGTTCCCTGTATCAGTTGTAAATCAGTAGTTAGGTCGAAAGGCTTGATCAGATTCAAGTAATATTTTACTTCCATCAGGTGGCATTTGATGCATGATTACCTTTTTTGGTGATATTTGCAGTCACTGATGATCACTGGTTAGATTCATTATGCCACCGTAGTTGGAAAGTATCAATACTCTTAATTTTTTCTTCTTGATTTAATAGCTGGAATTCTACAAAAGGAAATGTCCTCTTTTCAACTATTTGTTTACTTGGAGGTTCATTTCATCATACAGTAATGGTAGAAAAACGATTCGATTTTTTTGGTCTGTATTTGCTAGTTTTCAAAATAATTTTCGTTCTCTCAGATGATCATTAAGTTTTTAAATCTTTGCATGCCATTGTGAATCATGCATTTAAACATACATATATGTTTCTATGTATTGTGGTTATCATCCTTACTGGTGCTCCAATTGTCTCACCTTTAGCCAGTGAGAACCTGTTCTATTTGACATGTCCACATAGTCTTTGCTAACGTTCTTGCTCTCTGGTACAACAACCTGCTCATGAATAGTACATCCAATTCAAGCCTGCTGATAAGGCTCATCTTGTACATTTCCTGTGCAAGACCCAGGATTAGCCATTTCTGCAAAGAACACCAGCTCCTTTTAGTGGAAGATAGTATTACAAGACCATGTCCAGGTGCTAGAAGGGCTCTTTGCTATTGGATTCTTGTTTGTAGGCCTATTTAGTGAACAATATGAGACCATATTTATTATGAATTTTTAAAGACAAAATTCATCATGTAAACAGGTACTTCCCATTTAAATTCAGAATATAGCGATTTGATTTAAGCTATGTTACATTTTTAGTGTGCCACATGATGTGAAATGAGAACCTAACTTGAACCCGTCTCCTCCTCTACACACTGGGGTTTACTTGTTGAATAATTCATCCTTTTCCTGACTGACTTGCAAGACTCACCACATAACTTACCAGGCCCATTGTAAAAGGAAAATGCAGGACTCCTTGTTCCAAATGTCTTAAGAATTTTAATATGGTAGCAGTGGAGCCTTGAACCACTATGTGGGGCCTTCCCAAGAGCAGAAACTTGTGTACCCACATAGGTGACACCTCCAGGACTTGTGATAGTGAACACCATCATAGCAAATACTTACATAGCATTTGCTATTGCCAGGCTCTGTTCTGAATGCTTTGCATGTCACCCAGGTAATTACTTTTATTATTTCTAATTTTGAGATGAGGAAACAGAGGCACAGAGTGGCTAAACAACTTGCACAAAGTTACAAAGAGGTGGCAAAGCCAGGATTTGAATCCAGGTGTTTTGGCCCCTCTCAATCCGTACTCCTTACCTCTATGCTATAGAGCCTCTAGGATAGTTTCTTCACCATGTGTGGGAGGCTCTGTTAGGAAGATAATGCATTCTGTTCTGTTAATCTGCTGACAATTGCACTGGAAAGTTGCTCTTATTTATTGGAACTTCCTATTATTTAATGTTGACAAGCCATGTCCTCATATTCTACTTGAGAGTGTTCTTAAGTGATTTTACCTATCATTTTTTTCAGGTTAACTTTAGAATAATTATTGTCAAATTACCAAAAACAACCCAAACAATCATTGGTATTTCTATTGGGATTCCATTTGTATTATTTCTCCATTGAGTTTTTAATGTTTTTCTTAGATCCCATACATTTCTTATTAAAATAATTAGTGTATTGTACAATTGTTTATAATGAATAGGAGTATATTTATTCTTTCTTGAAGGAACATAACTGACCATTTTTGATCTACATATAAGGAAATTACCAATGTTTTTTAAACGGTATGAGTGGATTAGAGACACCTATTATGCACGAGGTCTTCATAATATTTTTATTTATTTTTTGATATGATTTTTTAAATTAATTTGTGTTTGTTACAATTGTTTCTCCTTTTTCCCCCACTGACACCCTCCTCTCGATGCCCCCCCCCCCCAGCATTGTTGTCTATGTCCATTGGTTAAGCATACACACATAAAAGTTCTGTTATTTATCCCTCCCCTCCCCCCTCTCCCACCTCCTTCTTCTGAGGTTTGTCAGTCTGTACCCTACTTCTATGTCTCTGGGTCTATTTTGTTCATCAGCTTAGTTTATTCATTATATTCCACCAATAAGTGAGATCATGTGATATTTATCTTTATCTTATTGGCTTATTATTTTGACTAGCATGTCCTCTCAAAGGATAAGAGATCTTTCTTTATTGTTTTTGGAATTTAACCAATTTTTAAAATTTTTTTATCTTCACCCGAGGACATTTTTGCATTTATCTTCAGATAGAGCAGGAGGGAAAGAGAGAGAGAAACATCCACAAGAGAGAGACATATCGAGTGGTTGCTACCCACACGACCACAAACGGGCGGGGGACAAACTGCAACCAAGGTACGTGCCCTTAGTCAAAACCCACCCGGGACTCTGGTTCTCATGCCGACACTCTAACCGCTAAGCCAAACCGGCCTGGGCTAACCAATTTTAATGGAACCAAATTGTTATACAATAGTATTTTATATACATTCACACACACAAAAAAACAAAAACAAAAAGAAAAACAAAAAAACCCTTGTAACTTTTTTGGGAATGTAGAGATCAAGCAGTGGGGAGCATGTCCTCGTAAAGACTCTTCTTGGTGTTGGAACTGGAGATCAGTATTTCAGTCTTTTCACTTCAACTGCATCAGCTTCCATCTTCCTCCTTTTCTCAATGATTGCACTAATCTTTTTCCACTGGCGATCAAGCTCTGCTTTGTTATTGGTTTCCTTGAAGCGCCTGGATTTCCGCCCTTCAGACATTTTGGTGCCATGCGGGAATGCAGCCTTGGGAAAAGATTCCTTGTTCGCATACCGGCTGTATCGTTCCTGGGGATCAAAGTCCCAGCGGCGGAAGGGGCCCTTCTTGTTGCCCTGGTCCATTTTGCTACAATCCACCTCCTGGTCACTGTCTACAGCCATGTCATCCATTGTGGTTGGGTAGCATTCAGCATAACTGTGGGACATGCCGAAGAAATCTCCCAGCTGCTTCTTATCTTCTGACTTCTTTAGGGATCTAGTGCCTTCCCAAGCAGCAGAAGCAGCAAAGTTTTCATTGATGGATTTGATGAAATCCTTAGCAGATCCAGGTCCTTGGTCAACATCCATGGACTCATCATCCACTTTTGGCTTCAGAAAGTAGCTGTGCCTCTTCTTGTCTTCCTCTCTGTCGCGGTCCTGTTCCCGCTCCCGGTATCTTTCCCACTCCTTGTCTCGAGATGTCTTGGTTGCGGAGGGCACAAAATCCCCAGTCTCTTCGAATATATTCATGTCGGCCACTGGGGGTTTCTTCCCTTGCAGCTTCCCTGGATCCTCCGTCTTGAGCTTCTTATTGCGGGTACTCCGCCTCAGGTCGGAAAAGACCTGGGTGAGCTTGCTGATGACAATGTCATCTGTGGTCAGTGTGGTCTGGGCCTCCATGGTGGGGCAGTCCGCTTTGCTGTGGATGAGAGTGGTGGGGATGTCTGTGTCAGGGTACTCCTCAGCCAGGTCTACCAGATAGGTCATGCAGCTCGAAAGGAACAGTTCATTCCGCTCATGTGCCTTGCTTTTGAAGAGCATGCGGTAAACATTGCGGCCTAAACGTGTTTTAAATTCAATTTTATTTTCAGGATCCTCATCTTTCTTGGTTTCCTCCTGGGGCTTTTCCATTCGTTCTTCCTTCTCTTTCTCTTTGCTGGCAATCTCAGCTCGAACCTTTTGGAGCAGAGCAAAATCCAAGCCTTTCACCAAATGGGTGTGTTCCATGTCACCACCCAAGTATTTGGACTCTTGGATCAACTGTCTTCTCTTGTCTGCAGCTGATTTGTCTGCCTCAGCAGTGGGGCCCACAGCCCTGTAGTGAGCTGTGGTGCTGATCAGCTCAGTTTCCTCATAGTCTTTCTTCACGCCTTCTCGCCGTTCCTTGGCTCGGCACCGGTACTTCTCTGCTAGTTGTCTCTCTCTCTCCATTTCTTGTTGGCGAAGCTTGGCATAATAACTTTTCTTTTTTCTCCTTCGTGCAGCGGGGTCTTCATCCTTATTGTACTCCCTTGGCATCTCGTGGTGATGAGACTTGGAGGGTGGTGCAGCCCTCGGGTTCATGAGAAGTTTCCTGAAGTCTTCATTGGTGAGCTTTGATTGCTGGAAGGAATAAGGACCATCTACATCGTAGCCATCTGGAGCCAAAGGGTTGGAGAAGGGCTCACTACCCGGTTCAAGCATTTCGTTCGTGGTGTCTCAACGCCAGCAAGGTCTGAGTCACCAACAAAGTAGCGACAGCCTTCTCCCCGCAACGCACCTTCGGAAACAACCTATAGCACCTTGGGTTCCACAGGGCGTTCGCACCGTTCACCCGCAGGGAAACTGGAAACGCAACTGGGGCCTTCCAAGGATTTTATAGCAGGGGCTCCACCTGGCCCCGCCCACTTCAGTCAGCCAACCTCTGGCGGGGACTGGAGAGCGTTCTGCAATTGGTTCGTCTGGAGAACTTGGCGGGAAGGCCTGGGCGGGGGGTTGGGTACTAGTGGAACCGGAGGCGTCCCAACAATTGATGGGATACGAGTCAAGATGGGTCTAGGAGAGATTTGCATACACTTATGCCAGCGCCAGCTTGGCAGCCAGGGCGTCAGGTGAGGCACCCTGTGGAGAGGCAGTCGGGCTTTGGGGTGCCAGCGTCACAACCTCGACCTCCCGGGAGTTTGTGAAGGTCCTCGCCCACACAGTGTGCAAGGCGCTTTTTTGGCTCCCTTCATGGAGAAACGCTCTGTGGAGCTGAAAAGGCGAACCCAGACTTGCCCATCCTAGTCCGTGGGTGGTCCGATGTGCTGCCCAAGCTCTGGACCCCTATGATGAGTGCCCTATGACGCTGGGGGCCTGGGACTCCGATGGTGAATCAAGGGTTCAAGAAGAGAAATCACCTCCCAAGTGGAGATCTTCCTTTCTTAAGCTGCATAGTATTCCATTGTGTGAATGTACCACAGCTTTTTTTTATCCAATCATCTACTGATAGATACTTGGGCTGATTCCAGATCTTAGCAATTATAAATAATGCTGCTATAAACATAGGGGTACAATTGGTGTTTCAGGCTTCTTAGGAATATATTCCTAGAAGTGGGATCAGTGGGTCAAAGGCAGATCAATTTTTAATTTTTCAAGGAAACACCTTCCTGTTTTCCATAGTGGCTGCACCAGTGTGCATTCCCACCAGCAGTGTACTAGAGTCTCCTTTTCTCCACACTCCTGCCAGCACTTGTGTTTTGATTTGTTGATGGCAACTATTCTGGCAGATGTGAGGTGATACCTCACAGTCATTTTAATTTGCATCTCTCTCTCATGTTTGGTGATGTGGAGCATTTTTTTCATATATATCTTGGCCACTTGTACGTCCTTTTTGGAGAGGTGTCTATTTAGGTCCTCTGCCCATTTTTAAATTGGATTTTTGTCTTCCATTTGTTGAGTTGTATAAGTACTCTATATATTTTGGAAATTAACCCCTTTTCTAATGTATCGTTGGCAATTATGCTCTCCCATATAGTGGGTTCCCTTTCCATTTTGTTGTTTGTTTCTTTTGCTGTGCAGAACCTTTTTAGTTTGTTGCAGTCCTGTGTATTAATTTTTCCCTTTGTTTCTCTTGCCTTAGGCGTTGTATCAGTAAAAATTCTGCTGCGTGCACTGTCTGAAATTTTGTTGCCTACATATTCTTCTAGGATTTTTATGGATTTATGAGTCACATATGTCTTTTATCCATTTTGCATTTATTCTTGTGTATGGTGTAAGTTGGTGGCCTAGTTTCATTTTTTTGCATGTAGCAGTTTTCCCAGGACCATTTATTAAACAGGCTGTCTTTACTCCACTGTGTGCTTGCCACCTTTTTGAAATATTAACTGAGCATAATGTTTTGGGTCAATTTCTGGGCTCTCTATTCTGTTCCATTGATCTATATGCCTGTTCTTGTGCCAATATCAGTCTGTTTCAGTTACAATGGCTTTATTATAGCCTGATATCTGGTATTGTGATCCTTCCTATTTTGTTCTTATTTTTCAAGATTGCTGGGGCTATTGGGGGGTCTTTTTTGGCTGTATATAAAGTTTTGGAGTGTTTGCTTAGTTCTGTGAAATATGTCATTGGCATTTTTATGGGGATTGTATTGAATCTATAGATTGCTTTGGGTAGTATGGACATTTTAATGATATTAATTCTTCCAATCAATGAACAAGGTATATGCTTCCACTTTTTTATATCTTCCTCTATTTCTCTTTTCAATGTCCTGTAGTTTTCTGCAAACAGGTCCTTTATTTCTTTGGTTAAGTTTAATCCTAGGTATCTTAATTTTTTTGTTGCAATGATAAATGGGATTGTTTTTATTTTTTAGTTTCTCTTTCTGAGTGTTCATTATTGGTGTATAAAAATGGCAATGATTTCTGGATGTTGATTTTGTATCCTGCTACTTTGCCAAATTCATTTATTAAATCTAGTAAATTTTTGATGGAGTCTTTAGGGTTTTCTACATACAATATCATGTTATCTGGGAATAATGACAGTTTCATTTCTTCCTTTCCAATTTGGATACCTTTTATTTTTTCTTCTTGTCTGATTGCTATAACTAAGACTTTCAGTACTGTTTTAAATAAGAATGGTGAAAGTGGACATCCTTGTCTTGTTCCTGTTCTTAAGGAAAATGCTTTTAGTTTTTGCCCATTGAGTATGATGTTGGCTGTAGGTTTGTCATAAATGTCCTTTATTATGTTGAGATATGATCCTTGTATTCCTACTTTGCTGAGAGTTTTTATCAAAAAGGGATGCTGGCTTTTTCGGCGTCTATTGATATGATCACATGATTTTTATCTTTCATTTTGTTTATGTGGTGTATAACATTTATTGATTTAGGATTATCGTATCATCCTTATATCCCTGGGATAAATCCCACTTGGCCGTGGTTTATAATTTTAAAAAATATATTGCTGGATTCGATTTGCTAAGTTTTTTTTTTTTATGCTCACCTGAGGACATTTTTCCATTTTTGTTCAGATAGAGTGGGAGGGAGAGAGAGGAAGAGAGAGAGAGAGAGAGAGGGAAAAACATTGACGTGAAAGGGACATATCGAGTGGCTGCCTCCCGCACAACCCCAACCGGGGCTGGGGACGAACTGCAACTGAGGTATGTGCCCTTAGCAGGAACCAAACCCGGGTCTCCCTGGACCGCGGGCCATTGCTCTAACCACTGAGCCAAATAGGCCAGGGCGATTTGCTAAGATTTTGTTGAAAGATTTTTGCATCTATGTTCATCAGGGATATTGGCCTGTAATTTTCTTTCTTAGTAGTGTCTTTATCTGGTTTTGGGATTAGGATTATGCTGGCCTCATAAAGAGAGCTTGGAAGTCTTTCTTCATCTTGAATTTCTTGGAATAGTTTGAGGAGAATAGGTGATAGTTCTTCTTTGAATGTTTGGTAAAACTCCCCTTTGTAGCTGTCTGAACCAGGGCTTTTGTTTGCTGGGATTTTATTGATTAGTTCTTCTATTCCCTTAATTGTTATTGGTCTGTTTAGGTCTTCTAACACTTCCCAGTTGAGTTTTGGATTAGTAAATGATTCTAAGAATTTGTTCATTTTGCCTAAGTTGTTGAATCTGTTGGCATATAATTATTCATAGTATTTTCTTACAGTCCTTTGTATTTCTGTGGTGCCCATTGTTACTTCACCTCTTTTGTTTCAGATTTTATTAATTTGGGTCCTCTCTGTTTCTTGGTGAGTCTGGCTAAAGATTAATCAATCCTGTTAATCTTTTCAAAGAACTAGCTCTTGGTTTCATTGATCTTTTGTATATATATATTTTTTAGTCTCTATGTTATTTATTTCTGCTCTGATTTTTATTATTTCCTTCCTTCTACTAACTCTGGGTTTTCTTTTTGTTCTCTTTCTAAATCTTTAAGTTGTTGGGTTAGATAGTTTATTAGAAATTTTTCTTCTTTGTTGAGGTAGGCCTGTAATGCTATGAATTTCCTTCCCAGGACTGCTTTTGCTGTGTTCCATAGAGTTTGTACTGTTTTGTGTTCATTTTCATTAGTTTCCAGGAAGTTTTTTTTTTTTTTTTCTTTTCTTTCTTTCTTGGTCTCCTTGGTAATGCATTCATTGTTTAATAACATGCTATTTAGCCTCCATGTGTTTGAATATTTTTGAGTGTTTTTATTGTAATTGGTTTCTAGTTTCCTGCCATTGTGATCTGAAAAGATTCATGATATGATTTCAGTCTTCTTGAATTTGTGAAGACTTAGTTTGTGTCCTAACATGTGGTCTATCTTTGAGAATGTTCCATGTGCACTTGAAAAGAATGTATATTCTGCAGCAGTGGGGTGAAATGTTCTGTAAATATCAATTAAGTCCAAGTGTTGTAGTTCATCATTTAAGGACTCTGTTTCCTTGTTAATTTTTTGTCTAGAAGATCTATCCAGTGATGTCAGCGGGGTGTTGAAATCCCCTGCTATAATTATATTGCTCTTGATATCTCCTTTGAAGTCCTCCAGAAGTTTTAAAATATATTTTGGTGCTCCTATATTTAGTGCATATATGTTTATCAAGGTTATATCCTCTTGTTGGATTGATCCTTTTAATATTATATAGTGACCATCTTTATCTCTTATTATGGCCCTAGTTTTGAAGTCTATTTTATCAAATATGAGTATTGCTACCCCAGGTTTTTTTTCATTTCTGTTTGCTTGAAAAAATTTTTTTCCATTTCTTCACTTTCATCCTGTGTGAGTCTTTTGTTGTGACAGTCTCTTGTAGACAGCATATATATGGGTTATGTTTTCTTATCCAATCAGCTACCCTATTTCTTTTTATTGGAGCATTCACATTTAAGGTTATTATTGATAAATACTTATTAGTTGCCATTTTTATTTTATGCCTGTGTTTCTCTCTCTCTCTCTCTTTCTCTCTCTCTCTCTCTCTCTATTTCTTCTTCTTCTTACAACAGTCCCTTTAGCATTTCTTGCAGTGCTGATTTGGTGGTGGTAAATTCCTTTAGCTTTTTTTGTCTGTGAAGCTCTTTATTTCACCTTCAGTTCTGAATAATAGTCTTGCTGGATAGAGTAGTCTTGGATTCAGACCCTTGACTTTCATTACTTTTTATACTTAATGCCACTCCCTTCTGGCCCCCCCCCTTTTTTTTAATCTTCACCTGAGGATACTGGAGGGAGAGAGAGAGAAACATTGATGTGAGAGAGA